AAAAAAAAAAAAAAAAAAAAAAAGCACACATGAAGACTTGTGGGCAAGTTGTGCCCCCCGCAAGTAGGGAATAAGTGAGCCATGCACTGGAGAAATTAAGGTGAATGGAATCTAGCCTACAACTCCCTACAGCTATCTCTTGCTCCATTTCTAAAAACTCTCAATGGCCTGAGCTCCTTTACATCCTCATAGCTAGGGTCTTGAAACAGGATGCTGAAATAAGATGTAACTGGGGCAAGAAGGGTGCAAATAATTTTTTTTAAGGGGAAAAGTTTGAAACAGGGTCTCATTATGTATTTTAAGCAGGCTATGAACTCACTATATGGCCCAGGCTGGCTTCAAACTCTCAGTGATCCTCCTGCCTCTGCCTCATGAATTCAAACACTTTTAACAATGCATCTTTTGTTTGTTTCCTCTGGATCTTGTTATTCAAAAAAAGAAGGTACCAACATATCCTGGGGAGTAGAGTGTGAAGAACTACTATGGCTATTATGAACTGTCCAGAAGATATTCCTAAGTAACTCGTAATAACATAAACTCACAGTAAGCTAACTATGGCCAGAGGCCCCTCAACAACCAGTCAAGAACATCTGAAATTTGGCAGTTTTTGTAGAAATGGTATTGTATTTGTAAGTCCTTGAAGTAGTAACTTGCACAGACTTAAAACTTAAGTTATGATGAAGAAAGCCAATGCTATTGCGAATGCACATTTTGGGTTCCTAGACTCAATCCTGTCAGTATTTGTGGGGGTGGGGAGGCACTGTACCACTGAATCAAAGTCTGGTCCTAACCACTACAGATTCTAGATCATCCCTCTACCCCTGTGGCAGCAGCAGTGGGGATTCTGCTGAGACCCTTCCCACGAGAGCACAGCTCTCTCAGAGCAGCCAAGAGACTCGTCACACTGATGAGCGCAACTTGCTACACTGATCAGCACTGTGTCTTGGTCATTAGCTCCAAGCCACCTATGAACATGGGGCCTCTGCCTTCTCAGGCTACACCTTTACCAGTGTTCCAGGGTGCTAGCAGCTCCATGATGAATAGAGGCCTCAGATGATCTCCTTCCCTAAAAGGAAGTACCAGAGGGCCTGGGATTTGGCTCAGTGGTTCTGCGGCCTGCCTCGCAAGCACAAGGACCTGAGATTGATCCCCAGTACCAGAAAAAAAGGAAGTACCGAGGAGATGGAATGAGAGCACGGACAATGAACAAATTCCATTCTCTCCCCTGAAAAAGTTCTGCACACATCACTACTGCCTTGTCCTTTTCTAGACAAACAGGACAAGTTTCAGGATCTTCTAGAGAACAACTGGACTTCAATATCCTCTTTAGTAGGGCTGGGATGTATGTAGTTCAGTAGCATAGTGCTTTCCTAGCATGCATGAGGCCCTGGATTCCATTCTCAGCACCACAACAAGAAAAAAAAAAAAAATCCTTCATTAGTTTCCAAGACTGGCAAAGGCACTATGCTCACCAGATATAATTAGGAGTGATGGAGGCTTGGCTTACTCTTGCTGTGCACTGAAAAACATGTCCAGCACCACGCATGTGGTAACACTAACTCCTCAAGCCTGGACATCCAGCCCTTCATGGTGCCTGCCATAACCCCCTGGATGTGGGGGGCTGTCCTACTATACACAGCTGCTGGGTCTTCCTTCCACTTCTCCCACTCTGTTCAGCATGGAGAAGGCCTGGGAATTGTGGGGAAGGGTGATAGTTCACCCCCAACTAATTCAAAGGAATGATCAACTAGAAAACAGTCCTTAAAAAAAAATTCTTTAAGCAAACAAAAAGAAATACAGAGACTTAGGTTAGCATTACAACTCAAAAATGTATGGAACGTCTGATCCAGGACCAGCAGCATCCAGGTCACCACACAGCTTGTTGGGAATGTAGTTTTAGGACCTGCTCAGAGCCCTGGAATCAGAATCTCCTCCACCCCCTCTCTCCACACACACACACACACACACACACACACACATATATTTTTTTGAGACAGGGTCTTACTATATAGTTGATACTGCTCTGGAACTCACTGTGTAGCCCAGGCTGGTCTCTAACTCACAGTGATCCTCCTGCCTCAGCCTCCCGAGTGCTGGGATTACAGGCGTATGCCAACACGCCCAGCTGTTTCTGCATTCTACTAAGGGACAACTGCCATGGCTTTATGACCATTCCCTGAGAACATATCTGAAGCCCAGCAAATAGAAGAAAATTTAGGTCCTTGTCTTCCAGGTCTCTGCAACACGACATTTGAAAAAGCTCACATCTGTGGCAGGTTTTTAATGACTATTTACAGATGTCACAGTCAAAAGGGAATCCCCAGAAAAAACAGTACTTCCTAGAAAGGATTCAAGATCTTTGCGATTATACTAAAAACAGGATCACGTACTTGAATTTTCCTTACAAGTGTGGAGGAGAAAGGACTTTGTTTTGGACACTCCAAATAATTTAAAGAAGCTGGAGTAGCTGTGCACGCCTGTAGTCTCAGCACTTGGGAAGCTGAGTTAGGAGGGTTGTCATGAGTTCAAGACCAGCCTGACCTACATAGTGAGACCCTGTCTCAAAAAACAAGACAAGGGCCAGGGATTTAGCTCAAAGGTTTGGTGGCCTGCCTTGCAAGCGCAAAGGTGCGAGTTCAATCCCCGGTACCAAAAAAACAAAACAAAACAAAACAAAAAAACACAAGACAAAACAAACAGAAAACAAAATTTTTTAAAAAGAGAAACATCCCAAAGGAGCTTACAGCTAAAAGGAAATACAGATTTCAGCCCGTTTCCTGTGAGGAGTGGTATAGGAAAACCAGGAAGTGAAACAGTATCCCCCGGGAGTTGTATCCAACACCTGTAGGTCTGGCAAACAAGTCTAAAGCCAACAGGAAAACTACTTTTCACAATGTCTATGAGCAACTTTAAAGGTAGGAGACAGTTTCTCCATGAGAACAGATTGATTTATAGAGAAGCCAAAGATCACTTCCATAAGCCTTTGCCTCTCTTCAAAGATATTTTGTCTGCCTCCCTTCCTAAAGATTTCCTGAGTCCAATCACATCAGCCTCTGTCTATGTATTTCACTTCTCTGCTGTTATGTGACCATTTTGAGTAACACACCACATTAATAGTATATCAACAATGACTGTAGTACTTGGCCAAGGCATTATTTGGCATCTAACTGATTTTCTAGCAGTTGTTAAGACTCTAGAAGCAAACAGATAATATATAAATACTTTTAATGTGGGAAGAGAATCAGGAAAGCTCAAGGGAATTTTCAAAGATGAAGAATCAGAAAATGCTGAAAGCCAGAGACCTTGAAGGGTCAAGTACTGTGCTGGTATTAGTACTGGAGAGTTTGTTCGAGTACTTGTTTAAATGACTAACAGCTACCCAGCATATTCTTTGTGCCAAGAACTTTATAAACATCTTATATCAGTATTTTATTTATTCCTCACAACTCGCTGAGTAGGTATTATTACTAAGCTCACTTTACAGGTAAGGAAACTGAGGCATGGAGTAATTAACCTACCAAAGGTTAATAACATGGTAAGCTAAAGTCTCATTTGATTTAGCCTGCGCTCAACTGCCTCCCTAACCTATAAGAATTACCTATAAGAATAAGCATCCCTGTTTTGTCAACTTGTGGCTAAACATCTTGGGTTCTCTCTCTCTCTCTCTGTGTGTGCGTCTTTGTGTGTGTTTTCTGGCTTCCATCGCGGAGTGCCTTCATCATGCTAGGGATAAGAAAGCCACAATATTATGTGATGAATAATGGGAGGCCATCGAAGGGATCCCAAAGGAGGACGCAATTACCAGTGGTAGGGTGGGAGAAGAGTTTTCAAAACCTTTACAGAAGAGGTGAAAACAAGTTCCCTGCTTTTTTATGTACTCAACAGTCCAGAATTTACTGTTCTTAAAAAGGTGGGAAAAGGCATTGAGGGAACAACGTATTTCTTTTAAGCCTGCCGAAAGAAAACTGACCCAACTTTAACTTTACATCCTTCACACCTAGTATGAGCCCTGCCGGGTACGGTGCACTGTATACAGCGCTACCATCCTCCATGCCCCCGCGCCAGGAATCCCCAGCGAGGTCCGATCTACCCTGGCACCGGCAGGTTTCCGTTCGTTCTTATTACAAACAATACAATGCATCTAGCTGAATAATTCTGAAGGGCCTGGAAACAGGTTTTGGGCATGCGCCCCTGGGCTGCTGAAAACCGTTTTAATGATGACAATTAAAAAGCGAAATAAAATAAAAATGAGACATTTTGTTTTTCCCTCCGCCGCGCTCACGGCGACAGGCCGACACCGTTAGGTGTGGGATCCTCCCAGTGGGAAGCAGCCTGGGCTGCGCTCGCCCCGACCCGC